TGAGCTGGTAAGTAGGTACTACGTTAAACATGTGGGTACTTGACCGGCATGGCGGCAGGCTTACCAATTGAATTTGGCAGGCATCGAGAAAACGGAAAAGGTATAATAATTCGGCAGATTTGGGGTCTCCCAAAAGAAATCCTGAAACAATTACAAGGGAGTCTTAGTTTTAGTGTAAAAGATAATTTAAAAGGTCGAAAAAGTTGGATTACGAAAAACGTGGTTCAATTAAATAAGAAAACTCACCTGAAAATAGGACTGCGGCATCAGAAGAAAATTTAATTAACGTTAAGGCTACTTAGGCATCTTGCCTAAAGCAGACAACTCGGTATTTCTTTTTGTGAAAATTAATTTCAAAAATCGTGTTCGAGAATTTCACGTGCGCTTCCATGGCGATCTCAGAAGCAAAATAACGTCTAGAGAACCACTTGATTTCAACATGGCCTCTGGTCGGAAAAAAAATGACAACCCCTAAATGCTTTACTAACTTTTGCACAATGTGGGATCTGAGTTGAGTCTTTAATACATGAAAATAAGTAGGAAAAACATTCAAATTCGGTATCCTTATATTTGAAAATTAGGTACCTAATTATTTATCAAAAAGAAATAAAAGAAATTAGAAATAATGAGGAGGACTGAAAGTTGTGTATTTTCGTGCAAATATTTTAATTATTCAAAAATCAGTGCAGAGCGCTTTCGGCCATAGGCCATCATCAATGCTACCTGGAAGCAGAAGGGAGACTTATTCTTTATAAAATGATATTATACTTTTAATATCAAGAGATTGATAAGTTGAACGAAGTAAAACTTGTCAATCTCAGAGTAGAGTCTTGCCTACTTACTTCGTCAGGTAATCAAGTGCAGAAAAAATCCATAAAATCGGGACGACACATTGGACAAGTACGTACGTAACAACAACACTTTAAAATTAAAATATGTATTATATCACATTTTTTATATAAAGGAACTAGGTTAGACATTACTCTCACAATGCTGGCTTTAGGGTCCAATCTGTTGAACTTTTAGAATTTTGGTCAATTGTGCCTTAATTTTTCGTAGTTTTTGAAATTAATCTTTATGTTAAATCCTAAATTTAAGATTTTTAGAATTTTTTTAAAGAAAGCGTGTCGTTCGGAAACCAGAACCCATCGAATGAAGATGACTTTCAACCAATGAACTATAGCCAAAAACTGGAATGCGCACACTTTGCCATTTCTGCCAAAAAAATGTAGCCATGGAAGACAGATGCCACAAAGGGGAATGTTGTTTTTTCTGTTGCTCGCTGACATATGACGTTTTGGAAAGTTTTGTCACATTTACCTTCACAGGTTTGGTGTGATCGTTTATCATAGTTGGGTTGACAAAGGATTTACAAAAGCACAGTCTTACAATCTTCCCTCTATACTAAACTCATTTATGGTGATTCAATATCAGTCGTGGCGTGACGTGAGCAGGGGTCGTATTTTCGAAACCACGCGAATTCTTTCGCATGCGATTTAATTCGAATGAAAAATGTCGTGTACGAACTAAAATGCGTATTTTTGAAGACCATTCGAAAATTTTATCGTATACGAGTATTATTTGCGTTGACAACGTCGCAAATTCGAGTATTTGATAATGGCCATTTCGACAGATACAAAAACGAAGAAGATTTTTTTGACATCTGACTTTTCAAATGCTGGTATATATCTTGCTGAAATAAATTTCGTGCACCTAATCGTTGGGATTTCCTATTAGAACATCCTTGCTTTTATAACGTTAATGAACAATCATGGTTTTTGGATAGGGCTCTAAAAGCTCTATCAACTCCAAGGTGAGTAGCTTCGTCAGGCGATATAATTTTCGGAACTAAGTACCTACCTACACCAATATTCTTCCAGCGGATCAAGAAAGGGATGTAACACCCTATCCCTACGATCTGCCAGTATTTTTGCTTCTTCGAGGGCATCAATAACATTTCTTTCGATTAAATAATCCAAGCTAGCCATTCCAAAAACTGTCTTTTAATAAAGCAGGACAATTTAATTCACAAATTATTTGGAAACGAATGAAAAGTCAAAAGGAGAAGAAATAACGAACACAATTTTCAATTTGCACAACGTATTTAGGTACATAAACAACAAATGTAACGTATATAAACAAAATAAGCACTTCAAAATTGCAAACAATGCGCAGAATGAACTAAAATCGCATGCGAAATGTGAAATTCGACTGGTGGAGACCCACTCGAGTAAACGTACACGAACCAAATCGTGTACGGACCGTTCGAAAGCGATTCGAAAATACGGAAATTCAATTTTCATGCGAATTTCGCCTTATTTCGTATACGAACGGCATTCGAATGGTTTCGAAAATACGACCCCTGATCGTGGACTGATCGTTCTACGACTCAAGAGTGAACCACGAAAACGTGGACCGTGGATTCACGATCAGTGTAAACTACCCTCAACCTTAATTTACGAACAGTTGACGTCACTGGAAGCGGCCAAGTTGAACGTAGCTTTTCCGCGCGAAACTTTTCAATTTAAAACTAATAATTGCCGGTTGACTACAATATCGATAAATTTAACTCAAAACTGCTCATATTTCATTATTTTACAGAAAAAGGTGTACCATAAAAACAAAATAAGCCATATTTATTTCTCATGAAAATTCCCTATTGGAATACGTGTTGGAAGCAATTTCCGCCATTTAACATAATGAGTGCGACAAAAACAGGGATCCCCTCCGCAGCAACGGCACTAGGCTTCACGTTCGTCAATATGTGTTCGCATTCCAGTATTTGGTTATAGTTCATTGCTTTCATGAATTGACATGATAATTATCGAACACAGTTAACACCTCGAGACATACAAATGGCCCAAGCAAACCCAGATTAGGTTGTAAATCAAATGGAATAAGAAAAGAAGAAAAAGAAGAAACATTGAGGGAAAACAACATGGCCGTCGAGTCCACAGAACGATGGTCAAGAGGAACATTTTAAAGGCGTCTATGCAAAGGGATGTATGATCTATTCAGATTTTCCTGAGTGTTAAGACATAGTTCATTGTTGCGCAACTCTTTACTGATCTCAATATCTTCCATGAAGTCCAAACGATTGAAATTTTTAGAGCAAATATTGTGGAGGATTTTTGAATTAGAATGGGGGCTGAAGTTGTGTTTAGTAGCTTTGTGATGTGCTCTTGTATACGAGTCTTTAAAGGTCTATAGATGCCACTTTTTGAGAGATGATCTATTTTATCTTTAGTATTGACCAAGTATGTTGTCAAGCAAGTTTTATATGATATTTGTATATTCTCGACATTTTGGCGAACTTCTGATGATATTTTGGAATTGGTAGATGAATCTAAAAAAGACAAAGCTATGTATTTGGTTGAAGGGGGGTTAATGACTGGGTAAATTTCTTTCCTCAGACGGTTATATTTAGTTTTCATAATAGGTTTGTCGATCATATTGGGGTCGTAAGAATTGTTGTGTGCAATTTGTTTAAGTATTTCAACTTCAAGATCATAGTCCTCCTTTGATAAGGGTGTATTAAGAAGTCTATGTATATAGCAATGAAAGGCTGCCAATTTATGTTGTTGGGGGTGGTTAGAAGAGTTGGGAATTGCATGATCTGTTTGTGTGGGTTTCCTATATATTGAGAACTGTAAGTCGTTGAGAGGATTCCTTGAATGGTGAGGTCAAGAAAGTTAATTCTGTTATTGTTTTCGATTTCTAGGGCGAACTTGATGTTAGGATGTATCAAGTTGATCTTCTGTAGCAGGAGATTAGCTCGGTGAGCATCCTCATTGAGAAAGCAGAGACAATCATCCACATATCTATACCAGTGAATTATTTCTGTATTTTCAACAGTGATTATATGGTTATTTTCCAAATTGTCCATGAAAATATCAGCTAGGAAAAGAGAGCCCATTGTTAACCTATCAGGTTGTTGGAAGTAAGTGTTGTTAAAAAAAATAATTCTGGGAGAGACAATGGTTTAGGAGTGACAAAATGTTGATAACCTTCTCTTCCTCCACACCTCTGGATCTAAGGAGGTCCCCTACTATGTTAGTAGCTTCAAACTTAAGTACGGCTGTAAACAAATTTAGTTTGCTAACACACATAAGAATGGCGCTTACTAAAAAAAATACCATAAATTGATGAACTTTCTTGTTTTTTTCCAGTTTAAATTACATTTTTGTAATTTTTTGAGAACTTGTTTCTATTATCGGATTTCTAAAAAGATAGCGCCATTCGTCCCTATATTATAAATCGAATGCAAAAAAGAAAGTTGATATAACTTCAATTGTTAAAAAATAAGGTTGAAATTAAGAACGCAATGCATTCCTTGTTTCATTCATCTCATTCTCACTAAGGAGTATTAATAGGAGCGGAAGAATACAGTGATAGACTGCGTTAGATGCTTCGCGCAGGAAAACATATTTTGGCATTGAGGCGCATCCAATACCCTTAGTATCTTCAATGATCACTTGCGTCAGCTCTGATTTCTTTTTGTAGTATTCCTCTTTAGCAGTGAAAATTGGATTGGGAAATTTTGGTCTGAGCCTTTTATTCAGAGGTTCTTTTAACATTTATGTTGTATAATTATTCCACTACAAAAAAAAAAATAGAAATAAATTGAAATGCTGCCTATCGATAGATTTCATTTCATAAATGAGTTAACATAGTATCATTGTCACTTGTGTAATGGAAAAAAATGATTAATTTTGTTTGGTATTGGCAACCTCGCACACTATCGATTTGAATGACGTTGTTGACAGCGTGGAAGCACGTCACTTGTCAAACTTGTCGTTTTGTTTTGTTGTTAAAATAACGCATTTTTGTCGAGTAAAAAAAGAACGTTAAGAAATAAAAGTTATGTTGTCCGAAATCCGAATTTATTGAAGCCATCCTCAATCGAAATCTCTAAAATCCCTAACAGAAATCAGAAGTGGGATAAAGGCAATCCTACAGCTTAGATATTTTAGGAAAATATCTAATTTTATGTGTTAAAAATGGACTTGGAAAATGAAGCCGCTGGGGGACCATCCCAAACACAAATTACCGTTGAGGAGATTGTAAATATTGCCATTCATGCGTTGCAAGTCAAAGAAGCCCAGGACAAGAAGGTATCCTTTTCAGAAATATCCAGTTTAGTGTCAGAGTTTTCAGGCTCTGAAGATGTTGTTGCTTGGTTTCAATGCATTGATGCGATCAAAATCGCTTATAAAGTATCTGAAGACATGCTCAAATTAGTGATTATCAATAAATTAACTGGTACAGCCAAACGTTGGTTCCATTCCTGTCCTTCCAATGCAGCCCTTACATTATCTAGGTTGGAGTTGGAGATGACGCGAATGTTTAAGTGTCAGGAAGATAGATTGGCAATTATGAAGAAGTTTGAGGCAAGACGTTGGCGTCGAAATGAAAAGTTTTGTGAATATTACTTTGACAAGATATTGATGGGAAAGCAGCTTAATTTGGCAGACACTGACCTGGTTAATTACTTGATTGAAGGATTCGATGACCCTATTTTACAAACGCAGGCAAAAATGAAGGAATTTTCATCGACATCAAAATTATTAGAGGTAATGAATAATATCACATAAAGTGAAAGGCATACTGTCTCTACATCAACCTTAAAAAAGCCTCACACACCTAGTTACACACCTGTAAATAAAACCCAATATGTACCACCAGTAGTAAGGCGTTGCTTCAACTGTTACGAAGAGGGTCACTTGGCAAACAACTGTTCGAAACCTCGTAGGGCAAGAGGGTCTTGTTTTGAATGTCAAGCTACCGACCATCAAGTGAAAGATTGTCCAAGGCGTAAAGGAAGACAACCAGAAAGAAGAAGTGCACAGGCTGATTCCACTGTAACATACACAAGTTCAACTAATGTTACTCAGGACATTTTTCCAGCTTATATGGTAACTTGTATATTTAGAAAATATTTGAATTATGAATTTGATGCAATTATTGATACTGGTAGTCCCATTTCTTTGGTTAAGGAAAGTGTAATAAATAGGGAAGACATTTTGCCTCATGATTCAAGTCAAAATTTTTATGGGTTAAATAAAACTCCACTTAAAATTTTAGGTTGTTTTGAAGATATTGTCATAATTGCAGATTGTGAAGTCAAAAATATTTTCCATGTTGTATCAGATGATACTATGAGTTTTGATGTTCTTTTGGGAAGGAATTTTATGTCAAATGATCTTGAGGTAAGTTTTGGTGAGAAAATTTTAATAAAAGCTAAGTCTAAGTCTGAATTCTTAACTAATGAAATTTTGCTAATCAATGATTTAAATCTAAACGATTGCCCTGAATTAAACATTAATCCTGTTCTTCCTGCTTCTAACAAAAATGAAATTTATGAAATTTTCAAAAATAACTATTTAGATTCACCTAGACCTGAAAAGCCCAAGGTTGATTATGAACTTAAAATAAATTTAAAACCTAATAGTACTCCTTTTTACTCAAAACCAAGACGTTTATCATTTTATGAGTAGGCCGAAGTTAGAAAGCATATTTCAGAGTTGCTAAAAAATAAAATTATTAAAGAATCCGAATCGAATTATGCTTCAAAAATTGTTTTAGTTGAAAAAAAGGATAAAAAATCTAGGCTATGTATAGATTTTCGAGATTTGAATAAAAATGTTTTGAGAGATAATTTTCCTCTACCGATAATTGAGGAGCAAATTGAAAAATTGAAAGGGAAAAGTTTTTTTTCTAAACTCGACCTGAAAAATGCTTTTTACAATGTACATGTGAGAGAAAGTGATACTAAATACTTGAGTTTTGTAACTCCCAATAACCAATATGAGTTTTTGAGAGCACCTTTTGGTTTCTGTAACAGTCCTGCTGCTTTTAATCGTCTAATACATTTGATTTTAAAGGACCTTTTAGAAAAAAATGAGATACTTATTTTTATGGATGACCTTTTACTTGCAACTGATACATTTAGTAACCATTTGAAAATTCTGAGCAAAGTTTTTGTGTTTCTTACAGAAAATTTATTAGAACTGAGATTGGACAAATGTTCTTTCATGCAAAACGAGATTGATTATTTAGGATATAGGGTTAATATAAATGGAATTTCACCTTGTGAAGATCACATAAAATCAGTTCAAGAGTTTCCTGTTCCCAAAAATAAAACAGAGATGCATAGTTTTGTCGGTTTAATATCATATTTTAGGAAATTTATTCCAAATTTTTCAGGTATGGCAAAACCTTTATACGATTTGATTAAAAATAATTCAGAGTTTAAATTTGGAATAAAAGAATTAGAAACTTTCGAAAACTTTAAAAACATTTTATCTAGCAAACCTATTCTCAGTATATACTCACCAAATTTGGAAACACAGCTTCACTGTGACAGTAGTAGCTTGGGATATGGAGGGATTCTTATGCAGAAACAAACAGATGGTCATTTTCATCCTGTAATGTTTTTTAGCAGGCGAACCACAGAAACTGAGTCCAAATATCATAGCTATGAGTTGGAGTGTTTGGGGGTATGCTATCAAACAATTTCATGTTTATTTGCAGGGTATACCATTTAAAATAATTACCGATTGTGACAGTTTTAAATTAGCTCTTAATAGGAAAGATATTATTCCAAAAATTATGAGGTGGGCTCTATTTTTGAAATCATATGAATATACTATTGAGCACCGACCAAATCCCAGAATGAGACATGTAGATGCCTTAAGCCGGTGCCATAATATCTTAATCTTGAAAGAAAATTCATTTGAACAGCTGTTATCAATAAAACAAAATTCTGATCCTAACATTGTTGAAATTAGAGATAATTTATTAAATTCAGAATCACCCTTTTTCGAATTGCGTAATGGTCTTGTATATAGAAAAAATAAAAAACACAACAATTTACTATTCTACGTTCCTAAGTCCATGCAAAGTAATATCATACGCATTTATCATGACAATATGGCGCATGTTGGACTCGAAAAAACCTGTAATTTAATCCTGAAAACTTATTGGTTTCCTAACTTAAGAAATATAGTAAAAAATTATATAAGTAATTGTCTGAAATGCATTACTTTTTCACCAAATTATGGGAAGGTTGAAGGGGAACTGCACTCTATACCAAAAGGTAAAATTCCTTTTGAGACCATTCATTTAGATCACTTTGGACCCTTAGAAAAATGTAGAAATGGAGATCGACATATTTTATTAATTATTGACGGTTTTACTAAATTTACAAAGATTTATCCTTGTCGTACGGTAAATTCAAAAGAAGTTATAAAGCATTTAAGATTCTATTTTTCATCTTACAGTATTCCCAAACAAATCGTACCAGATAGAGGTTCCGCGTTTACTTCTAATGCATTTGATGAATTTCTTAAAAGTCTGGATGTTAAGCATATTTTAATCGCTACTGGAGCGCCATGGGCGAACGGCCAAGTTGAGCGCGTTAATCGCACAATGCGTCCCATGTTAGCAAAGCTTTGCTCCGAGCCAGATAAGTGGAATAAAGTTCTTGATCAAGTGGAATTTGCCATTAACAATACCTCTAGTAAGACAACCGGTGAAACGCCTTGTAGATTGTTGTTTGGTGTTAATCAAAAAGGGTTATTAAATGATTCTCTTAAAAGCATGTTAGAAAATTTAAATCCAAAAGAAAATGAAAATTTGCAAGAATTAAGAGAAAAAGCGCTCGAAAACATTGTTAAATCTCAGGTCTATAGTAAAAAACGTTTTGATAAGATGCATAAAAGTCCAACTAAATATAATGTAGGAGACAAAGTTGCTATAACCAATACAGTTACTACTGCCGGAGTTAACAAAAAGTTATTACCAAAATATAAAGGTCCATATGAAGTAGAGGTCGTTTTACCTAATGACCGATATATTTTAAAAGATGTAGAAGGTTGTCAGTTGACACAAATCCCTTTTCATGAGTTACAAATCAGTACGCGATGTACGATTTTTTAAAAACAAATTTATTTCACTTAAAACTATTACAATATTTTTACGTTTAAAATTTATTAAAATTCGAAGCGTCGAAAGTGAATGCAAAGCTCTGACTGACGACGCTCGGCAAGTAGAAGCTACAAAAAGAGAATACAGAATGCAAGCTAATGAAAAATAATATGCTGATTAAATAAAATATACAATGTAGAGCCGTATGTAACTCCTCCCTCATTAGATTCAACTAAACATGTTGAAGGGGTAGTTGAATAATTGGTTCTTGGATTGGGTCTTCTGGATTGGCTTCTTGAGCTCTTCGTGGTCTTCGTCTAAGTTGAGTCAGTTTCTTGTAGGTGCAGTAGCTGACGAAAATTACCATTAGTAGGTAAATGAAGATAGTCCAAATATTTGGGGCTTCGACGATTTCGGGAAACGGTGTAAAATTAAGTTGATTGTCCTTAATTTGGTTTTCGATTTTTTGGAGGTCATCTAATTTCAGGTCATCTAGATGAACACTCAAGTTAAGTGTTGGCAGTAGTAGTTCTTCTTGATTATTCAAATCAGGAAATAATATAGGCTGGGTTTTTGTTTGGCCTACGTGTGCGTTGTTTATAATTACTTCTTGATTGCTGTGATTAGTTAGTTTGCAATTTTTTGGGATTTCGGCAAAATATGTACCAAATAATTTTTGATATTCTTCTTGGTCGCTGCATTCCATTTTGACTGTTTCTTCTTTGGGAATAATTATGATCCATTTATTTGAGAGGTCCAATTGATTGACTATTGGGATCGAAATCTTAACTTCGATTTGTTGACATGATTGGACTTGGTTACTTGATTCCAATAATTGGATTGCACATGGATTTTTGGTTGTGATTTCTGTGAGATCCATTTTGTCACAGATATAGTACTGGTTCTGGATTTCCTGGCACTCCGTAGATCGATATGAGAAGTGAAATTTGTTTTTTACCAAGAATTTACTTTTTGGAATGATTGTTTTGAATTTATTTTGTTTGTAAATTGGTATTGAGTATAAATGATAATAGTCGAAATTATTTTGATAAGTGATAGGAAATCGAATTAGAAAGGTAATTTTATTGTTTAAAATAAAACTTTCTATTTTTACTAATTTCTCGTATAACAATGTATTAGCTAGAGTAACCTCTAAGGGCATACTTTTCGCATTCACAATTTTTTGGATTCTTTGCAACTCAAAATATAGATTTTCAGTTTTTATGATACTCGGATGTAGTATTTTCAGTTTCGAAAAGGTAACTGCGTTTTCTACATCTTGCAGTATTGAGTCAATGATTTCGTATAAATTAATTATTTGATTGATAGTATCTTTAATAATATTAGCATTTTCTCGGAAAGTGCCTTTTTGTACAATTAAACTAATCTGGTTTAATTTGGATTCGAGTAAGTTCTCGTTTTTCCCAATTTGTTGAATAGTTTTATTAAATTGTTCAATCAGCTTAATCGAAATGGCATTTTCCTTTAAGGCTTTTGATTTTATTTCAATTTGATTACTCTGTAAATTTTCAATTAGTTGTTCATAACGTTCTCCATCTGATGCGTCTAGGTTACCAGTAATTGTTTTGAAAATTGATCCGACTGCATTAATAAGCCCGCGTCTTGTGCGTTGTGGGTGTGGAATTAATTCTTTTAATTTTGTTTCAACACGGTCTTGAATTAAGAATAGTATTTTTATATAATTACTAGTTTCGATCTTATATTCTGCGTGCGTATTTACGTTATCGGTCAAGTTTTTTGATTTTTCTTGAAGTTTGTTGACTTCATTTAGGATTGGATTGAGGTCATAAAAATGAATTAGCGTAAATGAATATTCTTCTAGTTTGGCTTGTCCTAATTTAATTGGTAATAGTCCAGGGTTATCAGCGATTTTTTCTAATTGAATTTTGTCTTCAAGGGCAATTGATACTTGTAGTATCCTGAAAAGAGAATATAGCAATTAGTCAAAGCTATATTTATTTTTTAATGGACGTTTTATGTTTGACAAGTGAATCTTTTCTTGAGATTCGAGTTTTGCTGTCTTTTTAGCTGTGTCGACATTTACTATTTTGGTCGGCTTATTGAATTTGTCAGCGTTTTTCTGTCGTATGTGTTTTTTCGTAAATACTGTTTGGTTTGGTTGAAATATTTCTGGGTTGTCTTTATTCACATTAATTTTTGTAGTTAAGTGTTCTTTCTTAGCCATTAATTTTTCGTTCAATTGTGCATAAAGAACTTTTGCTTTTTCTTTATGTTCATTTATATAATCTGATAAAATTAA